TGTTAGGAAAATATAATTGTTTCATTTCACTGTACCCTTTGCTTAGTTCTTTCTAATTGAAAACTTTGTCAGTAAGCATAATTTTTAAAGTACAGAGGTGTATGAGATTCTGTCAAGTCATAATCCAAGTAGGAGAGCCTTGGCTGTAGACAGGACCAGCTGGTATGCTCATGTCTGGGAGGGAGTGGGCAGACCTAAAATCACTGAAGACCTGAAATAATGTGTGGTTTGATTCCTCAGAAACAATTAAGGAATTAGATTTGTAAATGGAAAACTGAGGGAGCCTAACTGAGCAGTGACCTGCAGATATGTGGTGACATTTAAAAGAATATACAATGAGTTCTGGGTGTCGACACACTCAATTTTATCTGCTGACTGAGGGAAAATTATAAAAACATACAAAAACTGCCAGGAATTTAATTACAGAGGTCTGCCAGCTGCCTCTCTGCTTGAGATCAACACTTTCTGTTGCCTCTTTTGAATTTCTGTATATTCTACTGCAGTAAAGCTGTTGGGGCTGGAGATGTTTTGGCCCTGACAGATACATAAGGGCTCCAGAGAAAGTAGAAAACTGAATGTCATTTGACTGGCTGCCTGGGTCAGAAAAACAAAGTTTGTTCTGTTGCATTTGTAGCAGAACACAAAGAGTCATCTGCCTAACTCAGGATTTATACCAGCAAAGTGAAGAGGAAACTCCAGTTCAAATACCTCCAGTGGATCTGGGAAGAAGACTATTCTGTTATTCTGTATATTGTATGTAATAATGTTATCTTAAAAGCCCCAGAAGAAATAAGGAGAACTAAATTCTACTCTTGAGTATATCTATAATATTTGGGAAATCTGGAGTAGCAGCATGGCTTTCATTGGAGCCACTGCTTGTACTTGCCTGGTGTGAACTCGAGCGGCTGAGCTATATGAGCGCATTCCTGTTCTGCAGTCAGAAAATGTGTGCATGATATTTGATTTAACTTAGGAATAATTCCAAGAGATTTTTGCAGGCAACATAAACATGAACATTACTGATTTACTTATCTCTTCACTGCCACAGAGTGGCAGCATGAACACATCTGTGTAGTGAAATAATTCCTGACAAGTGAAGCCCTGGAAAAATCTGATGGAAGTAGTAATCTATAATAGAATAAATAAATCCTTTCAGTTTCTATGCTCAGACTCTAAAAGAAATGAAGTCTACAGCATTAACAATGAAGGAGGAATTAGCTATTTTTTTTCAGACAAAGAAAGGAAGCATTCAATAGTAAAGACAAAATTACTCCTTAATTCTATAGCACAGACAAAGAGACAGTGGAAAATGAATGCTCTCAAGCTAGTGCCTGGGTATCGCTGAAATGAGTGTGTTAGAAATGCCAGTATACATATTGAAAAGAGCACCATGGAGGCAAGGGTGGGACATCTGGAAGGACAGCATATGATCTTTTAACCACTCAATTGATTCTGTTCGATTCTTTACAATAACACCCTTCTCCTATCCCTGCCCCCTCACCTCCTTCCAAAAAGAGTGGTTTACATTTGTTACATTGATGTGTTTAGAACTGATTCTGTCTCAGTTTTCTGTGAATGAGGAATGGGGGAATCTGTGTGGACCCTGTTTCTACACAGAGTCCCTAATCTCCTTCTGATCCAGGCCACTTGCACACCACCAAAAGGCAAGGTGAAGAAAAGTTGCTACTGTCCCAGTCTGACTCAAGATGTGTGTAGGCTGAATCTGGCTTCAACACAATAGGCAGTATTGTATTGTTTGCTTTAAAGACCACTGAAAAACATAAAAAGTACATGTGCTTGCTTTTCCCTTCCATGGCCAAATTAAAACAGGGAACAATGTAGTGATTGTGGAGATGGCTGTCTCGTTATTAATTCAAAATTAGGAAAATAATTATGATTTGAAAAGAGTCAGGCAGGAATTACAGATAGCAGAGGATTATAGGAAGGGTGGAGAAGGGCTCTTACTCAGCTGCCAAGGAAAAGCAGGGCAGGTTCCACATGTCCCAAATGGAAATATGACCCTAGGAACATGTGCTCTGGACCTTGTCCAGTGACTGCAGGATATGCAGGGGAGTAGCTGGCATGGCCTAAATAAATGGGACCCTTTGGGAACTGTTTCAGTGTAAGGATTAAAAACCAGTCCCACACACTCTGGGAACTTCCTGAGAGTGTAGTCCTTCTGCGGATACCTTGAGTTGTACGTGTTGCATTTTTTCTGGGTATGTTGAAACACTTTGTAGCTATCATAACACTGATACCTTCTGAAAGGGCACTAAAATCATGACACTCTGGGATTCAGTGATTTATTAGCTCTATAGTGCTTGCTGATTTTATGATTTTTTTGTTTTTTCATGCCTTAATGGCTGGCTTCTCAACCACAGCCTGAACACTGAGGTCTTGCTGAGATCCATCTGGTTTCTGCATCTTTTTCACCAGTGCAGATATTGCATGGGGCAAATTCTGCTCATCCCTATGTATGAGCAGCCTTAACTATTAATACACAGGACAGAATAGGAAGGGTCTAGTTCACTTACCTGTGAAGTGGTATGGGCTGTAGCGGTGGTATGGGAATATGTAAGGTAGAGTGCAGGAGTACAGCTGTGAACAGTCCTACTTGTATGCATGTTCCTTCCCTGCAAATAAATGCAAGATAGTTTGAAATATCTTATCTGCATTAACAGGGCATGCAATAAGGCAGGCATGTCAAGCTTTAATCAAATTATAAAAAAGCGGTATGTGATGTGAATGCATGTGGGTAGCAGGAGATTGACTCAGCAACCCATATGGTCTCTCATAGAACTATGTCCAAGTCAAACACTTTAAAAAGCTTAAATGTGAACATCAGGATGATGGTGTTGTGTAGTGGTACAAGGAACATGTGAACATATGTACCAAAAAGCTACTAGGTCATGTAAAATGATATATTGACCCTTTTCTGTATTACCTTAAAAACATGCCGTTATATTCCTTACTGAATAACTCAGTAAAATCTCTGCAGATATTGCAGTTCATTTTCAATGCTACATACTTTTAAGTAGTTTTCTACAAATCACTTTTTCAGCTCAAGCCTGTCACAAGAATTATGAATTAGCATTCTCATTTCCTATTTTGTATGTATACTTTAAGGGAATTCCCTTCTGAGTAACAGTAATTTCTGTAACCTCAATGTTTACTGCATAATAAATATAATAGGAACTAATGTTTTCTGCTCTGCTCAGAACAATGTACCTATTTCCATGCATAAATATCTAAGTAATAAAGTGGTCATTTCCAAATTAAGTAATTCAGTCTGAATTGGAACACCACAAGTTGAATGCTTTCAAATTGTTTAAGCCACTGTAGATGCCTATTGGTGTCTGTTTAATATTCCTTCTATATGTCAACAAATAGCAAGTTGCAGGTAATACCAGCTGAAGTTCTCACCACCTATCTCTGAGGAAGGCTTCACTGGAGCCTTCTTTAGTCTGGTCGCCCCTGCTATGGTTCCCCATGTGGGGAGAAAACTCTGGCTGCCTAGAACCGGTCAGAGCCCTTGCGCTGACATAAGCAGAGAATCTGGTTCACCGGTTCTTGGATCTTCTTCTCATGAATACCGTCATACTAGGAGTTTGTTGTACAACCGGTTTCAGTTGTGCGGTACTGATGGCAACATTAGGGCAGTTAAAACTGACGGTTTTTAACTAAATACTTATTCTTAAAACATTTTCTGTGTGTATGAGGAGATGATCTGTAGGATAGTGCAAGGGTTAGAAAAGAATTTGTGCTAGAGTTAGGTCAGTGTAACTCAGTAGTGGTTACGCCATCCTGTAGAAGACAGATGTTTGTTCTCAGAGCTGTTATTTAGCTGACAAGAGCTAGGAGAAGACCTGCTAACACTTAGGTCTCACAGCAGGAGAGGAAGGTCTCTCACCTACAGGAATAGCTTTCTAACCAGATGGGTAAGACTACTAAAGCAGTCATGGTATATTTGTGTTGTCTGAAATAAACATGCAAGACTCCCTGAAATCCTGATGTTACTTTGAAAGTTAGACCAGAGAAAATCTTCAAAACGTATCTTCCAGCACCTAGTTTACAGATTCACAGCTGACTAGAAAACTTTTTTTTTTTAATTTGAGCAGAATGACTTCTGACGAGACAGGGATATAAGAGGAATTTTTGTTGTTCTTGCCATGTAACACATCATGCTATCCAATACAGCACTTACCACCCTGCTTGTAAGACTACTTAGCTGAAAAGAGCTAATGCAGGATCCTGTCTGGCTTCAGTCTTGATCCTGTGAGGGTCAGAGACTAAACACGCAGTTGAGAGCATTCGGTGTTTCAGAGGCTGGAGCACAGAGAACATTAGCAACAAAGAAGTTTTGCTAACTTATAATCAAAAGTAGCACATTTATTATTTTAGTTTGTTTTTCTTAGAGATAAAAGCTATAATTCTTCAAGAGAGAACAATATTTAATTCAACATGTATACCCGAACTTCATATCAGACCTGCAAAAAATATTGCCTTTCTCACAGAATATTCTGAATATCACAAAATGCATCCTATAAGAGTGCACCAAGGTTAAACATTAATGCATGTGTGCACCAGTGGGTTTGATTTCTTTTTTTCTTCCAAAGGGTTTAGCTTCCTCTGCCTCTCTGACTGTGTCTTCCTTGGAGTCTCTGACGCTGGTACCTTCTTCATCTTACCTTGTTTTCTGGCTGTGTTTTAAGAGTAAATTTTTTGCTCTGCAGTCTTTGGGCCTGATATAAGGCTTTACAGTGGAATATGTATTATAGAAGGTCAGACTAAATGATCAGGTTGTCTCCTTTGACCTCACTCTCCAAAATGCTGTGAAGGACAGCCAAATGCCATGAGCTAGATCCTCGGTCTGGCCCAAGTCGCAAATAGTGGGTGCCTGGGTGGAAAGGTCAGGGAGGAGAGAGAGTGTTTATTCACCTCTAAGCTGACTGTGTGGTCTACTGTATAGATTTAAACAGGCTAATGACTGTGCTGGCCAAAGATTTCTGTCCATTCACCCCACTTGCCTCTTCATCTCATGCTGAGGTGGATATTTTAATCAGCTGTGACAGCTTCACAGTTATGGAGATTTCAGTCTGTTAGGTGAAGATCCCAGCTGCCCCTTGACAACAGCCACCTTTCCAGTACACAGTAAGTAAGTGGGTCCTGGGCCAGTATTTGAATCCCATTTGAACTGGTAGATAATCTCTTCATTTTTTGAACTGTGAGACTCTGCTACAAATGACTTGTAAGCTGCATATTCAAAGTTCATAAATCAAAGGAAATAAAAAGGAGTAATACAAATAGAAACATCATATTCTGTTAAATCTCTCTCTGGTGAATGAGGCATTCCTAATACACTTGGCTGAGAATATGCCAAACTCAATGCCATCAGTTTGTCTCTCTCTAAAGATGTACAATATTATTAGACTAACATAATTCTGGAAGCAAATAAGGTATCAAAAAGCTATTCTCCACTGCCTTCATTTCTTTGCTGTGCTTTGGCCACTTTCTCTTAACTCTTGCTGCTGCTGCTTTTTTATTTTAATTTTCTTCTTATTCTGTCTATGATAAAGTGTTCCTAGATTTTTGGATGGAAAGGAATTTCTAGATCAAAAGTTTCTGCCATTTAACTCTGAACAGGCTGATATCTGTGATCTCAGACAGATGTTGTCATTGGCTTTGGCACGGTTTAAAATTTTTTTATTTGAGGTTTTATAAAGCAGCATACCTAAGCAACTTTATTGTTATACCCCTTAAGTTTAGTGGAGAATAAGTTAAGACATTTTATTTCGTTTGCTTGACTGACTTTGTTTCAACTGTTACACAGTGGTTGAATCATCGTGCCCGTTCCTGAGAAACAGGAGATGAAACAGTTATTCCCATTGTTTAACAAGGAACCACATTTTACTAAGGTCATCTAAGTGATTGGACCAATGACCACAGAATATTTTTACCAAAACCTGTTATTTTCTACAGAGATCTGTTGGACCAGCCAATATCAGCTGCTCAGAGGCTGAGAAGGGCAGTTACGTGCAGCATCTGATCTTAAGAGACCAGGAGAATGATAACAACTGTGGGATGTCTTGTAAGGATGTGAGAGGTGTCACGTTCAGTAATGTCTGTGCAAAATCTAACCACGATCAGCATCTAGACCAGCCTCTCTTATTTAAGTGCCTCTTATCTAGGGATTGCAAATGTAAACAGCAAAAGCCTGTTTTAACACTCCAGGTTCTACTAATAAAACAGCACAACATAGAGTATGTATGAAAATACAATGAGGTGGGCCACACTTTCCTATGGTGGAACCCATAGTATGAGAAGATAAGTAGCAAAGAACCCTTAAGTTTCCCATAAAACTTATTTTGAAGCATCCCAGAAGGCAGTAGGCTTGACAGCTGTAAGGCAGCAAAGTTAACCTGAGAGCTTGCAGGGAAGGGAAACTTAGCTCCACAGGGAGAAAACTTGTCCTTCAGGGACTGCTACTTCTGCATTGTATTGTGTCCCTTGCTCACACATTTGAGGCACTCAGGTCTCAGTAGGAATCACACTGTGTGTGTCCAAAGTCTTCCGCAGGTCTTTCTGTCCACCTACCTATCAAAAATATAAGAGTTTTACTCCTGTGGCTTTTGTTCTTCCTCACTATTATCTTTTCCCACAGTTATCTGTTGTATTACTGTGTTTATTTTCCAGCCTAGTGATCAGCTGAGGGACTGCTGAATGGCAGCAGCATTATTTTTTTTCAGCCTGCTATCTTCCGGTTCAAACTATAACACTAGGCAGCTGGGAAACCCTTCATTTTCCCAGGAAGCACCAGATTCCCTTTTCCACTCTCTATCTGATAAACTTGAGAGAGAGAGACTTGAGAGATTCATGACATTGCGTATCCTTCTTTCTCTAAAGAAATTTTGTATGCTCTCCAGATAATGTAACATTACTTCCCCATCCCTCTCTATTTAAGTACAACCATGTTAAAAGTGGAAACTGTGCCAGCGGAAATTTATAGAAAGCTTCCAAACCTCAGAGAATTGAAACTGGAGTTTTAAATGTTTACATGTTAGCTCTTCACAAGTTATGTGATGAACGTAACCTCCATTCTTTGTTCACACATTATCATTGAGCTTACTATGACTTTAGTAGGGTTTTTGCTCCTTGAAATGTTAGTGTGAGAACACTTACTTATGGGTTGTGTTTGCTGTTTGTTATTTGAGACTTGTTCCTTTGCAAAGGGCCACAACAAAGTCAGTCTGGCCCTTAAACACAAAGGATGTTTAACTCCCTCTTACGATGGCAATAATGTATTTCTTTATTTATTTATGTTGATAGTATCATCAAAGGCACCTATGCTGGGTACTTTAGACCCACAGAAAACTCTTTCTCAGGCTGATGATGAAGGCCTGAAACAGATCAATGTAAAGAATTAGGTGGCATTAGGACAGAAATAGGAAGAAGGGAAGGAGAATTGTAGATGGAATGTCCTAAACAACCAGGTATCTAGACCTTGCTGCAGTATTCTAAATTAGGGTGAATATTGGCCCTAAACTATTGCTTTGAATTCATCTGATCAGGAAACAAGGCTTACTCATGTGAAATTTCAACAGGGATTTTAAAATCAGTTCTACCAGCTAGCTGCTATTTTATATTCCAATAAATTATCTAGGGCATATGTGGCTTATATTTAGAGGTATTTAAGTGCCTGGCACAAAAGGAGTTTGGGGAAACTTCTAAGAGTCCAGCCCTTAGCACAGAGAGCAGAGTGCAACTGCTGGAAGAGTGTTCAAATGGGGTGCAAAGATATTCCTGACAAACACAACCACATGAATGTCTTTTATGGCATTTTTGCTTCCTGCTGGCAAACTTACCTTTTCCAAACATTTTTCAGAGCATGGATTAAAGAAGTTGAGAAAGCTACCAATTTTCATTTTTTATACCAAAACAGTGCAAATACTTTGGCTAATACTGAGTTTCCAATCTTATGCCTTGTCCACTGTGCATCTATTTTAAGTGCTAAGGGCACCTATCACTTTTGCATAAATACTCAGGTATTTAGAGAGCTTCCTATTCCTCTCATTTATCCTATCCTCCTGTGGAAAGAGACTGGGATATCTGTCAGCATCTCTCTGCCATCTCTGAATCTGTCTTTTAAGGTTCAAATTCTTCATGACATTAACTGAAAATCTGCTTCCTGTTTGCGTTATTCAGTGATTTGAAAAAGAGGGAAGTAAACGCTAAAGGACAATGTCAGATCTTTTCAGCGGCTTGTACTTTTTACAAAGTTACATGTAAAGTACTCTTCCTCTTAAAAGCCTGAAAGCAAGTTATTTTCTGCTGATTTTGACAATAGCCATTTGTCAGAGAGAGTTTATCCTCTTTAGAAGAGAGGTGAAAATAATGATTGATCATAATAAAATGACTATAATCAGGCAGTTATCTGATGTGTACAGTATTTTATTACATCAAAACATTTGTATTTATTTGTTAGCGTAATTAATGATGACAGCACATCACTTGGAAAGTATAAATTGAAAGACAGAGGTTACAAAGTATATTTAGTAAGTCTTTCAGTCTGTTAATGCTAGATACAAACATTGCTATTCAGATCTCAGTTTCATTACCTGGACATCACAATGAAACAAGCCCTGATACTGCAAGAATAGCAAATATAAACAAGATGTAGAAAGAACAATAGTCCAGTTCAGCTTGTAAAATTACAATTCTGAAGGTTTGTGTTCAAAATCTTGGAAGATTGGCACAAATTAATGTCCTTTATAAGTCATTTAAGCCTTCCTTGTTAATTTGGTTTCTTCATAATACCCCATTTCCCCCATTTTTTCTTATTGAACCATCTTTCTATATACCATTTTACTTCATGTTTTTTTGAGGATCCTACTTAAAAGGCTACTATCTGCAGTGGACTTTCAAATTATTCTTTTCAAAGGTGACCTGGTAGCTTGCTGTTCTGTCAGATACCTGTGTATTAGACACGCTTGACAAATTGCTCTTGAATTATTAGGATACAACATGTATGAACAGTTGTTTTTGGGGCTCATTGACTCTTGCTGTCTTCCAATGATAGGTTTTCTGTTCCTGTTGTCTTCCTGTATTCCTCATTGCACTCCCAAAATGTTGCTTGTTTTTTTTCTAAAGTCAGTGATAAAAGATGGAAAGTTAGAAAATGTCAGATCAAAGTCTTGAGAGGAAAAAAAAAAAAGCCCTGAATTGTAGAAAAGTCAAGTGCAAAACAAAACAGATCACTGTGACACTGTAAAAGGAAATAGTCTGATGTATGTTTTTTGGCTCATTGCTAAAGGAACAGTAGTAACTCTTGTAGCTATTTAACATTCTACCCATTAACCTAAAATATCTAGGAGAATTTCTAAGGTAATATCTAGAGAGATTTCTAAGATTTACAAAAGACTGAACATGTAAAGATTCCCTTAATTATAATGGTGGGAAAATAAGTTAAAAGAAGACCACAGTCAAAGTTTTGAATTACTTAAATTAGTCAGCTTTTACTTTACAAAAGTAAAGCTGATGCATTTCCAATTTGTGCCTCCTTATTTTGAGTATAAGAATGAATACAATCTTCTTTATAGTGCCATGTTTTCCCCAGTATCTTGGCAGTATTTCCTGCCAAGTTTCCTAAAACTTCAAACCCAGAGATGTAGGGAAGAACAGCACGATATTGTTTCTGGCAGTAATGTCAGAGCAGGTGCACAGGCTTCTGAAAGGAAAAGCGTGCACTGCTGTGTAAGCTATATAGTCTACATGACTCAGGCATTTGAATTTTTCTGATACTCCATTGTGGAAAGCTGCTGTAATAGCTTCTGCTATGAAGACCCTGATTTCTGACAAGGCTCTTCTGTTAAGAGAGAATTACATACTGTCCTCTTTGCAAGGGGTATAGGTGCTTCATTTGGCTCCAGTGTAAATCTTCTTCACCAAAGTTTCATGGCTTAAGACTGTCTGATTCCTGTTTTCTGTGTAAAATAAACACCAGGAAAAATTAACCTCTATTATAAACAGGTGTGTCAGATGGATACAACATTTGATATACAGCAAAACATAACTGTTTCAGGTAATAGAGCCCTATAAGCAATCATCTTGGTAGACAGAGACATCCTAAATGAATGAATTTATTTGAGTGACAATGTTATACATTTAGCAGGCTTCTACTGTAGCACAAATGTAAATTTTCAGGTAATGAATAGGAGCCTGGACTGTGCGAGGGGGAGGTAAATTGTCACAGCAATTCATCACCGGCTCTTTTTGATTAGGTTCCAAAAGGCATAAGAATTTTTGAATTTCTATAGAAATAAATTGGCTTCTCCTACATATTTTTTTTTAAGCACATATAGCCTCTGCTGAAATGGTGTAATAATTTTGCTGTGCTCTGTGCTCTATGTGAGTTTATTTTTCTTTAGCAAACGTGCCCTAGGAAGATGTAAATGGATCAGAAGTGGAAATTGGCTATCAGAATGCAAATTATTTCTGGAACTGTCCATTTCTGCCTAGCATGTTATACTATTTTCTGATTCACAGACAGACAGGATGCAATTGAGGAAAAATCAGCACATCAGCACTGTGAAAGGCCTTGACATATTTACAGCTTGCTGGATGAGTTTCTCCTTGAGGACAGCATGTAGAGACAGCCCACTGCCTAAATCTCTGCATGCGGGTCCTGAGCATGCTCTGGGCTGAACACGGGACGAGACTCCCCCCAACACCCTTCTCCCACAAAGGGGCAGCTCTGGGCAGTATATGCTGAGAGTATCCTTCAAACCATGGGAGAGGCAGGGCCAGTTCTACCAGCTTGTTATAGGCCAACTCTGAGACCATTAAATGCTGGATGTCATTACAAACACAAACTGCATTCAATTTTTAATGATGAATTATTCTTAGAGAGTACTGGGAATGATTCTGCCCTTTCTGGCAGGAATTTGCTCATCTGGTCCCAGGCTGGAGGTGTCTCATCACTTGTAAACAAGCGGCTGGTTGCTGGTTTGAGAGTGGCCCTGGTAGACTGCTGATAGAAAGGAGTTTTCTCAATCTTGTTGAATTTGGTGCAGCAGCAGTTTATTAGCATCTGTTGCATGTTTATGTGAATATTAATTTATTGGGGTGATGTTTTTAATAGTAGAGAATAATGGCATTGGTACATACATATGAAAAACCAAACTCATTTTAGCCTTTCTGCTGAGGTTAATAAAGTCAATTACTTCATTAACAGCAGTCACCCTAAGCAGGTTCTTTAAAACCAGTCACTAATATACTCTTAACAGTGCCATTGTACTAGTATGACTTTGACAATGTAACTACTAATGTAGGCATTTTTATTTTGGAATGAGAGTGCACAAGATGGGTAGGTGTACTGGTACTCCTCTAGCAATATAATTGTTCTATTGAAAGATTTCCAATAAATATTCTTATATAAATAACTTCTTGAAATTTCTGGCATAATGAATAATGCCACTGTATATGAGAAAATAGGAACTACACAGTCATAAATTTAATTATGATAATAGCAGAAAGTAAATCCATATGTATCAAGGCAAATGTATTCTTTTGATGGTAACACAATGGTCCTAGGAATGGAGGTCATTGGTGATTTTGGAAGAAAGAGTTTCACAGAATGTAAAAAGAGAAAGTATTTAGAGTAAGTATTGGGCAGAAAGTCAAGAAGCTTAAATAGTGGAAATAAAACTGATCACTCGAAAAAATAGATAATTTTGTAATAAATTGTATCAGTAAACAAAGTCAACTGAATTATGGTATCAAAATGAAAGATATATACCAGTGAGTGTATCCCAAAATATCAATTAGAATATCCCAGAATCAGCAATATCTGTCTGCTGTTAGTGGACAAAAGTCAGATCCTGAATCTTTGGCAACTGGATTCTGAAGAGCCCTCAGGAGCAGGCATTGTCCAATCCAACACCACATGTGTGATTAATCCTTCCAAATCAAGGTGTTTACTGATTCCTTGAGAAAACTGTAATCATCATCAGAAAATGCCCAGAGTTGCAATAATTATCAGTCTTTCATTTTTTGATGCAATATGTGAAACATTGGCTAGAATCCCAGCAGAAAAACTGGATTTTTTTTTATCACAAGGATAAAGTTATCCAAAAAACAGAAGAACAATTTAAAAAAAATTTGCACTTTCTCTTTTTATAAGATGTGTGAACTGTGAATTATGAATTAATATAAATTAACTGATTTTTCCACGCAAAAAGACCTCACTGTACAACAGGCATTGCTTTGAAGGAGGGAAAAGCTTTTCATACAGGTAGATGGAAATTTCTGCTTTAAAAATATTAACAAATATACAAGCAAAGAGAAATTTTGCCAGCAAATTATCCTAAACACAGCATGTTACTACTGATGTAGTAGAGTAAAATGTTTGCTCCATTGGTGTTCTCAGCAGGATTGGCTAGTATACACAAATGTAGTCAGTTCTTTTAGTGTGAAGTCGAAATTGAACAGCAACATTTCCAGTTGCAAGCTGGCCTTGATGCCAATGGTGTACAATTGATTGCAAAATGTAGTATGGGAAATTTCCAGCTGAAATGCTTGCATGCCACATTTGAAACTGCAGGAAAGGTTTGTCTGTGAAGTTGAATTTTGTCATATGAGTTAGCATGATGTTTGCAAAACTGCTTAGCTGAGTCAGCTCATCATTCTTTCCTTTGTTGTTTCTCAAGGAACAGAAAGACTTCAGTCTTTAAACTCAAAAGATTCAACTTCAAACTGTCCTTACCCACACCAGTTTAGAAGTCTTCCATGTTCTTACTGTGTGACTCCTTTCACGCTTTGTGCCACAAACAGCGGAAGACATTACAGTGCCCGATTCCTCTGTTTCAGCAGCAATAATATTCCTGAACTAAATGGAGCTGACCACTGACATAAAATTGGTGGAAGTGAGAAGATAGAAGAATACCATCAACATACCCTTTCCAAAGGATAAATGTTGAGATTGAAGCTTTGCTGCAGAGCGACCTGGTACAACCCCTATGCTCTATCAGTTTCCTGACAGCTTTATTTGTCCTGCTGACTTGTATCATTTGTGTTTGAATACCTCCAGCTATGCAGATGAGCCATAGTTTTGACTTGGAAGGCTTGCCTTATCTGAATTCACATCGCCCTGGACAGTTAATTTTACATGGAGAGGAACTAGAGATGATACTTAATAATGTTATTGCCTGTCTAGCAAAAGATTTGCAAAACAGAATATTTCTTTATACTGAAATTATTCTATTAGATGGAATGTATAAACCTGTCTGACAGATATTGCTGGATTCTTCCCTAAACATCCGAGCACATTTAGCATCCATGTTTTCTCCAATTTTCTCCTGTTATTCTTAATTCTGTCTCTGTTAGTTCTTAGTGAGAGTCATTCACAAGTAATAACTCTGGGTTGCCTCAAAGCAAACAGATGGCTTTATACAGCAGAAGGCAAGCAGAAAGAAATGCTCAGTTCTGTGAATCAAAATTGGGGGAGGTTATGAATCGTGGTTCAAGTCATTAACATAAAAAGTGAAACCTAACAGCAGCATGTTTATATTCTGAGTAGGCATTAGGTATTTTGAGAATTCAGGCCATGGTGTGAAAGCTTTGCAGAGCAATGCCATTATCCATTTACAACCATGAGAAATGAAAATCAGTCAAACGACAGCTTTTCTTTTCCTTTAAATGATTAGGAAAATTCACGGCACCTACCAAAGAGGTGTCAGAACTTAACACTAAGCACACTTGCTAATCATAGCATTTCAAGACTATGCTTTTTTTAAGCCTTGCATTCATTCCCTTGGTTTGTGAACAGTTTGAAGTAACTGTTTGTGTTCCCTCCATTTCCCCACCTCCCCATCCCCACAGAGACCTCATTAGCAAAACCAAATGGCTGGTGGAAGTCCCGATCTTGAATTCTTGTAAAGCTCTGAAATTCACAGACTGAACTTTATTTCACTGGAGGTGGACAAAACAACCAGGTGCCTCATGTCATGCAGACAATGGAAATGAAAAGGAAACAAGTGGATGAGAATTCACATGAAACTGCTCCCTCCTTCTGGCAGAAGTGGGCAGCACACTTCTGTTTTGATGTATCACAAATAATAGGGCTACACCAGCTCATTCATTTCAGTGACTTTTTTTTTCTGCTCCTGCTAAAGAAAAGTATGCCAGACTGCAGAGAGCAGGCCTTATATTGCTACCTCCCTTAGAGGGTCTTACTTCCTCTACAGGTGGAAGAACATGGCACAGTTCAAGGACAATTCAGGAGGTTGCTGCCTGCAGCAGAAGAGGGCTGTTGAAACCTGTGATGAGAGTGGACAAAAGGAATCCTCAGGCAGGCTCACAAACAAAACCTGGGCTGTCATTGATTCATGGACAAAGCAGGTACAATTTCTTTTTTTCAAACACTCACCACAACTAGAAATCTGAAAACTTGTCTGGTTAAATTTAGCTCCTGCATCACAGGGCAGGGTAAAGGCTTGCTGAGGCAAAATTTACTTTAGGAAGATTCCCCTCCTATTTGTCAGTCTGCTCTAGCTTCTGTCTTTGAGTTTATATTAATTTACATTTACACTAATTATACTGTGAGAACCTCAGGTAGTTCCAAAAACATTTGAATATCATCCTGAAAAAAATGTCTTGATGATGCTGTATCTGTTGGGTACTCATAGGCAATAAATTCAGAAACATATCTTGTCCATAAGCAATTACAGTGAGTAATGCCAAAACGTTCTGCATTATGGTGACACTGGCAGTATGTGGCACTTTGGATTTATGTTAATAATAAAGGAAAACAGTCAGCTTTAAATGTTTACTCAAAGTATAATTCCAAAACTTCTTTTCAGTTTCTGACTTATGCTCTCTGGCCTGTGAGAGGATCCTTTCTCATAGTGTGAGCATCTTATGGTTGTATTGGTCTCAAAAACATGCACATAGAAGGTATCCTCCAGTAAAAAAAGTGCTGCCCTGAATAAATGCAGACTTAGTAAATCACTCATACTGCTGCTGGATCTGCTAGGACTTGGGAGAAGTCCAAGGACAGCGGAAGAAATAAAATTATTCACTGCTTTGCTTTCCTATCTGATTCACGGAAAGACAATTAATTTCAGTATGTTAGCATTTGAACACAATGTTTAGAACTTACACAAGAGAGAACTTTTTCAAATGCTGAACATTAATAAGCCTGAAATTGTATCCAGCTTTAATATATTGCAACGTATACCTCTGAAATAATCCTCAGCTTTCTCATTGTCTTTTTCTGGATGCCTTTGCTCAACAGTGTCCATCTCCACACAAGTGCAGATGAAGCAGCTCCTTTTCTTCTTGTCTTACCCACAGGTGGTCAGATGCTAATTTAACACCTTTGGAAACCCATTGCAGATAGTCGTCTGCATCGTTCTCCATTTGAGACTAATTGCACTGGGGTACAAGGCATCCAGCCTTTTCAGTTCAGGAAGTATTTTATTCGTTGTGAAAGCAAAGGTTATTCCACAGGGTCCAGATGGCCAGCATCTGAATTTACAAGTGCAGTGGAGGGACGTTGGTTACTCTCCTTCTGTGGATAACATAAAACTCTGCAAACCTGGCACGTATGCAGCATTGAGAATCACGTAACAGAAGTGTGGGATATGCTTTTTGTGGGGAGCAGGGAGGCTGTACAAGGGCAGTTTGGTAGCAGTGGGTGTGAATGCTGGGGACCCGGCTTTACCTTGTTTCTGATGCCATTCAGGGCATGACTCTGCTGGCAGGACAGCTGAGGTGAGCTGCACCGCAGTGATACTGTGAGTGGGTTTGGGGGGGTAGCTTAGTGCATGTACGCAGGTTCTCTCAGTCACTGCTCTCCTTGCAGAGCTATTCTACAATAAGCAGGGCTGATTCTAGACACAGGCTGAATAGGCAGCTGCCAAACTCAACAGACTGCTGGGGACCATGAGATACTAATGTCCCATAGCCTAAATTGCCTGTGGTGGAGCTGGAAAACCTCAGCTTGCAGCTCCTGCAGGTTTGCCTCTGGACATGTGCAACTGATGGTAACTGCTGGGGGAATCCCTCCCAGAAGGCGTCCTTGTCCTTCTTCTCCTGTCATTTGGCAGGTTCTTTTTGTTTCATGACCCCTCGGGTAGAAAAATTCACTTTTGCCTACACCGTTGGGAAGACTGGAACTGGCTGTGAAAATAGCCTGCGTTATGTAGCACACTTCAAGATTCAGGGCTCATTATACAAACTTAAATCAAACAATACAGTAGAGGGGATCTGATAATTATTATGGCCATTAAAAATAGAATTGTATTTAATAGGAGGAAAAGATAACTTTGTAGTGTCCTAAATTTATATATAGTATGTCTCCATATAAAGCATTCTAAATTAAATTAGGAAGATTAATTAAGTTTTCTCATTTAACTGCCCTAATAAATTTAATTATAGCATTAGAAAGAAAAGATTCTGCAATCTTGTCTACAATCTACAAACAATCAGAAAGGAAAAAAAAAGGCCGGGTGGCTTTTTCCATATCCTGTGCATGCTGCATGTGTATTGCTCTAGTCATAAAGTTCTTTTTATTTACAACTGTTCTAACCTGTAAAAATTACCATATTGGCCACAAACTGCTAAGTTTCAGGCAAATTTTGCATGAGACGGTATATCAGAGGAAAATATACGTACCTCATGTAGATAGAAAGCCAGGTATGCTAGTATCAGTTATTGTCAGAAAAAATATTTGGTAGCCAAAACTAAAGTGACTTAATGCTCTTTTCTCAATCTTTTGTTCTATTCCTTCAAATGCCTTGCTAGTAAATCCCTTTAAAAGTGAATTTTCTCGCTTGGAGTTATCTATTGATCAAAAGGAAACTTTGAAACAGCGGTGTTTTGATGGAGTGGAACCTTTCCATGTCTCTCTTCTTTAGAGTAAGCAGCTTTATGAAGTTTGTTTTCTTCTGGATAATACAGCAGGAACCAGGGATTTATCTGTCAAAGACTCTTGTTTTGTTATGTAAGCTTTAGGTGGATGACAATACAAGGTATTTGTAATGCAAAATTGCTACATTAGCAAATTCACTCAGTATTGTTCACTAAATATAGAAATTCACAATACAGACTTTTTTCTAACTACAGTAGAACAATGTGAACAGTAAATATATATTTAGATACTTGTTGTGATTCTTTGTTGATTTGACTAACTTATGAAAACATAACTGTCCCCTCGTTTGGCCACCATTTTCTCCACTGTATTTCCTACGTTGTTAATAAATTAATCTTCATGGATATCTTCTAAATTGTCAAAGTAATCACCTGTCCCTGGACTATCTGCAAATCCTTTTTTATAAGTAGTGTTTGTGTTTTACTTGTCAGCAAAGTAGCATTAAAAGTGTGTCTGGTGCTCCTGGAGATAAGCTTATTAGATGTAAAATGGCACAAAAATAATAATAGTTTTAAAAGGAAGTTTAAAACCTCCTTTAGTATAATGTAGTTTAGTTGCTTTCGAAGGTGTGCATATTTTCTCTCTTTTTACTTATTTTTCGAATGATGCACAGATTTTAATCACAGACATAAGGGTTAAAGCAGTCTTCACAAACACCAGCCCTCTGTTGCATTCCTCAGAAATGTCCTGAGTATTGAAAACACTGGTTTTGTTGATGAGAATTAAGCACCAGTCACACCCTACCTCCTATCTTCTTGAGTTTCTAGAGTTATGTTGGCATAATTTTCTGAATAGACTTGGTGCCCCTGAGGAGTCATACCACCAACTACCACAGGCTTTGAAGAAAGATGAGAATAGACAATAGAAAAAACTTCAAGGTAACTGCAAAAAGATAACCAAACAATAACCTAAAATACTGTTAGATTATGTGCTGATTCTTTAGTGCTTACATGAGTGAATAATTCCACTGGGAAGGCACAGGATCAGACTTTGTATTTATATGATAAATGATGTGGTTTTGTAATAAGCAAAAAGATTTTTTCTATGCCAAAATCAGTGGGGTTTAATGCTGTAAGTTTTCTTGGTGAGTATGTGATGATACAGTTGATGGCCTTCAGGAAGAGGGCCATATTTCTTGTACTAACTGAGGTCTTCAGGGATGTGGAAGAAATAAATACTTTTGAATTCAGATTTTAGCAGGTGAGTTAGAATTCAAATAACTTTGAAGTATTTTTTTTATTCACTGCTTTGTAATATTTTACTTCAGTCTATATTTTCAGTCAGTGAGTCCCAACTCCAGATATGTACTCTGCAAATACGCGTGCACTTTACTGTCTGCTGTGAACTTAATGAGACCACTCATTGTTGATAAGTTTAACGTGTATGTAACTGTTTGCAATGTTTGTTTCTCCTTTTGGTTTCTATTTCAAAATTACTGTAGTCCATATTTAACTAGAACTGGTTTTATATACATATGATTACTCCTTGATTATAGCCCAAATCTTATCATCACTGTTTTTAATGTACTTGCTTTTAAGCAAGAAAGCCCGTGGGAGAAAATTTGCGCTGTGAGTGTTTTTACAGTTAAACAAATTAGTTGCTCTGTGAAGCATCTAATGTCCTTATTTTACCATTAAGTTTATCAGCAGTGGAGAACAAAACAACGTTTGCTATTGGAAGACAGACAGATGTTCTTCTATAAGGTCTATTCTGATTTAAACTTCAGGAGACCTCTGAAGGTAGTCTTGCAGAGCAGTCCAGAATTTGAAAAGTGAGTATTATGGCTACAATCCTTTAGCCAAGTTTGCATGAAGAATCAAAGATTAAAGGTAGATGGTATTTCAAAAAACCTTTTCCTAGCAAAATGTTTAGGGAAACAAGAAATACAAGGGAACCAAAATAACTCATATTTGGTCTTACAAACTTTTCATGGCCTTGGCCTCGTGGTTTATTTAATGGGAGAATATTAAATTTCTGCTAATCATTACTGCTGCTTACACGTATTTTGGCTTTCTTGCCATAGTGGGATGCACCTAGCTGGGAAAAGCACTGCCACTGGCTTTGAAACTAGTGTTTTATTGCTAATGAACTGTTAAATGTACCAGATACACACAAGCAGGGAATATTTAAAGGGTGGAGAATATGTGACTACTGTGAACTTTTGAGGCTTTTAAGAAATAGAGGAAGGAGAGGATTTGACGTGGTAGCTTGGGAGTAAGGGAGCTCCTCTTTGGTATAGGAGAGAAATATAAGAATGTACAGGATGAAGGTATTCCAGTGTTTTTCATTCTTAAAGGTCTGTGAGTGTTTAATTTATAAAAGTAGTTGAGTCTGTTCCTAGCGTTGTGCCAGTATGTTTTTGTTTACATTTATTCACTCCTCAACAGGTGTTTCCTTCTTTGTGCTTCATGTATAGTAATCCCAGAATTTCTCTCTTACTATCTTAATGTAATGTACAATGGATTTCTGTGAATGATTGGCTCCCTGGTCTGAAACTCATTGATTTTGTTGATCATTAATTTGTTTCACATTTGATTTTTATTTGGTACCATGGTAACCTCACTATTCTTTCTTGCTGCTTTTGGATGTCATTTGGAAATACCCAAGCTTGTTGTCCCTTTACATAATTTGTCCAGCTCTGCTGGGAGGTAAACCATATATCTGCAAACACTGGTAAGAGCAATTAAGATGAAACAAGAACATCAGCAGAATCTTTCTTGCAATGGCAGTCATTAGTAGCCGAGTAACATACTGAAGCCTGATAATTTAGGCATTATCAGAGTTGGGAAGGGCACTTACATCTACTTTAGAAGTAGGAGATTTAAAAAAAAAAAAGATCAGGAAACCATTTGTAACAATTATTCAGATTGAGAGTGAATCTTCTAACTTTAATCAATAATTTTCCTCATTTTTCCCTCAATTTTTTCTTAAGCCAGATGGAGATCTATTATATCTACTTAGCTGTTTTACAGTGTTCTCTCTTCCTCTCCTCCTTCCCCTAGGAGGCAGAAAGCCCTATGTATCTCTGAGACTTTAGGCAATAAAGTCTGCAGTTTTAACTAGCACATTAAAGGACATTCACATAAATAAGAGACTAAATCCATGCAGTAAATATGAAGAGAATATAACTGAGTGTAATGCAATTCAACACAGGCCACGGTCTTCTTCAAGTGATACTCTTTCAACAGAGTCTTTCTTTTATAAGATCATTAATTTGTTTCCTAAAGAGCCAACAATCTCATTGCTGGCATCAAATTGTGCTGACATTCCCTTTTGAGTCTAAAATTCTTGATATTATGAAAACTTAATTAGATATCGACATTAATAGACTTGTGGGGATTATTTCTGCTGCATTTAGTGAAGAGATTTTACATCTGTTTGGAGTCATAGAATCATAGAATAGTTTGGGTTGGAAGGGACCTTTAAAGGTCATCTAGTCCAACCCCCCTGCTGTGGGCAGGGACATCTTCAACTAAATCAGGTTGCTCAGATCCCCATCCAGCCTGACCTTGAATGTTTCCAGGGATGGGGCATCCACCACCTCTCTGGGCAACCTGTGCCAGTGTTTCACCACCCACAGCATAAAAAATTTCTTCCTTATATCTAGTCTGAATCTACCTCCCTTTAATTTAAAGCCATTCCCTCTTGCCCTGCTACAAAGTCTGCTGCCATCTTTTTTTATAAGCCCCCTTTAAGTACTGATAGGCTGCAATAAGGTCTCCCCGAAGCCCTCTCTTCTCTAGGCTGAACAACCCCAACTCTCTCAGCCATTCTTCATAGGAGAGCTGTTCCATCCCTCTGACCATCTTCGTGGCCCTCTTCTGGACCTGCTCCAACAGGTCCGTGTCTTCCTTCTGCTGAGGGCTCCAGAGCTGGATGCAGTACTCCAGGTGGGGTCTCACCAGAGCAGAGTAGAGGGGCAGAGTCACGGTGGTCACGCTTCTTTTGATGCAGCCCAGGATACGGTTGGCCTTCTGGGCTGCGAGCACACATTGCTGGCTCATGTCCAGCTTTTCATCCACCAGTACCC